GAGAGAAATACTGTTAATTGATGATACATGGAGGAGATTATAATCAATGTAATGAAACAAGGTATATGATTTGTTGAATGTAAAACTGATGATATGCCCTATAAACTTTCACTCAATCCACAATAAAAACCTTAAAAAAACAAACAAACACATAATTGTGAATGGCTACATACTAGTCAGGAACCCTGAAAGTGTACTGGGTTCCAAGATGGGTAACCTACCAGTTGCTTAATCAAATCTACCAGTTGCTCCAAGGAAGAAAGATGAGGTTTTCTGCTCCTGTAAAGATGTACAGCCTCGGAAATCCTATACAGTGTTGCTATGAGTTGGAAACGACTCCATGGTACACAACCACCACCACACACTGTTAAGACTCTTGGATACTCAAACAATTAGTGCTTGACTACTAAACTACTCCTGGTGTGGTGTTATAGATGTTGTAGGTATACACTGGACTGCTACTAAAAGGTCATTGGTTCAAACCCAATAGCCGCTCACTGGAAACCCTCTACAGGGTCACTATGACTTGAAACTGCCTCAACGGCACTTAACAACAACAAACATAAAAAAAGTACTGATGTTGCACTGTAGGATAAGCTCTGGACTGCTAATCGCAAGGTTGGCAGTTCAAACCCACAAGCCACTCCTCAGAAACCCTATACAGAGTTGCTACGAGTTGGAACCAACTTGAAAGGCACTTAACAACAAGAAGACACCTAAAGGTTGGCAGTATGAACTCACCAGCAGTGCCAGAGACAAAGGAGTTGATTAGTTTCCATAAAGATCACAGTTAAGAAAAGCCGTGAAATCGTTCCACCTGTATGTAACCCATGGGGCTGCCAGGAGTTGCAGCTGACTTGATGGAAACTGGTTTCGTTTTGGGTTTTACATGCTATTACACTATGTACTCGTTTATTTAACCACTCAATACTGCTAACTGCTGACACATGTTATTGTGAAGCGCCGTCGAGTCGGTTCCGACCCATAGCGACCCTGTATAGGGTTTCCAAGGAGCGGCTGGTGAGCTTGAACCACGGACCTTGCAGTTCAAACGGCTTTTTAGTCTGGTGCATTAACCGACAGTGCCACACCAGGACTCTTCCTTCTAGGGTAGCGCACCTTAAAGGATTGTCATGGAATTGGAAGAGCATAATGACAAATATTCTACTGGATGCAGGTGTGTGGAGCAGACTCTTAGATGAAAGTCCTTTGGCACCATGTCACCAGATCACACAAATTACACCTTTGATGGGGGAAAGGGAGGTGAGGTGCACTGAGTCACAGACAGAGCACAGACCCCTGGCCCCCATGTACTCTACCTTTCTCTTGCTCGCAGCAATGACAGTAGGAAGCCACCGACTTTCCCTGGTGTCCATCAAGAGGAAAATGACATCATGGCTGTCGATGAGTTGTTCCAGCTGCTCCACATCCTTGCGGGCTTGCTCTAGGGTGATGCTGGAGAAATTCACTGGGTGTCCAGGCATGGGGATGCTCATATTGAACCCTTGAGCATTCTAGGGAAACGTGCAGATGCGCTTAGTGTGAAGCAAAGAGACAGGCTGCAGACATCACAGCTCATGTTTCCCCAGAGCTACAAGCAGGTATGTGTGGTCTCTGGCTTGATTAGATTGCTATCACTTACCCTACCCACGCCCTCAGCTTCTTCATTTCACTGAAGTACTGTCTCCCTCAGCTTCCTGAAATAGGATGAACAGGATGATCCCAGTTCCAGAGTAGGAGGGGGAATCACTTCCTGTCGAGGCTATGAGAAAACAGTATCTGTGGCTCCTTCCTATCTTCTGAAGCCAAGAAATGTCTCACAGTGCCCTCTGACTGCTCAAGCACCCTCTTTCCAGCCAGATTGACTCTCCCCAACTGCCCTCACCTCGATCCTCACAGTGTGCAACACTGCTACACAGCTCGTTCTCACAAAAATCATGTAACAAATTCACATATGACTGGAATGACTGATTGTTGGTGTTAAGTGATGTCGAGTCAGTTCTAACTCATAGCGACTCAGTAGTGTTTCCAAGAAGTAGCCAGTGGGTTTGAACTGCTGACCTTGTGATTAACAGTCCAGTGCTTATCCTAAAGTGTCACACCAGGAATACAAAGTGTCAACCAGGATACTGGAATGACTGATAGTCTTGCCTTAATCTTCTCAAGGACATATGCATTTAAAAAACAAAACACAAAACCCCATCATCAGTTTCCTTGCTAACTTTTAGCCATTATAATCTAGCTGGAGTCTGGAGACAGGAGATGGGTTTTGCTCCTTGCCCCAAAGTAGAAGCTGTCCTGTTGCTTGAGTTGTGGCGAGCCAGGGTCTTTCCCTGGGGCTCTGAACCATTTTCCAGTCCATGGCCCCACAAGGTCTCAACAGATTAACAGTGAGTCACATGTGGAATTATCGGAATCAGGCAAATGAACTTTCCACAGAGAAGAAGAGTGTTCTACAATCAAAAGCTGCCTTCCTCCCACCACATGCCACCTGCCACAGAGAAAGGAAGCATGGGAAAACGTCAAAGTTTTCATTCATTTGCCAAAACCCCTTATTTATAGGAACTTTTTTTTTTTAATAGTACAGCACACATAAGTCTTTTGCAAAAAAAAAAAATCTATTTTTGTACATAACAGATACTTCAGCCTTATCATCAACTTTAGACCTACTCTCTGGAATTCTAAAGAAGGGCAGTAACAATAACAGCTGCAACATCAAAAAGACTAGGAAGGAAAAGGTTGTAAACCCAGCAAAAAGGGCAACCAGGCAGCAAGGGCTTCAGAAAGAATAAAAGTTCCCAGACAAGTTAATTTCAGCAACGAGAACAGCACAAAGATGGTAAGAGGACCTCAGTAAGTAAGTAAGTAAATAAGTAAGTGTTGTTTAGAGCCGTTGAATCGGTTCCAACCCCACAGCAACCCTGAATAGGAGTTCTGAGGTGGGTTTGAACCACCTACTGTGTGGTTTAAAATGACTTGGCAGCCCAGTGCATTATCCTGCAGCGCCACACCAAGACTCCAAATAAGTGTTGTACCAGGTGCCAAATACTGTAACAGTAGTTAAAGCAACTACAGCAGTAGTTATAATGCTAATAATACCATCCTCCTAGTGTGGCACTGTAGGGTCAGCATTGGACTGCTAGTCACAGCTTCAGGCCAGCTCATCCTCAGAAATCTATACAGGGTTGCTATGAGTTGGAACCGACTAGATGGCACTTAACAACAACTACACTGGTATATTGGGGAGTGCAGTGGATCCATATGATAAGCACTACAAGCACTGGGCTGAGAACCACAAGATCATCGGTTTGAGCCCACCAGCCGCTCCAAGGAGGAAAGATGAGGCTTTCTGTGCCAGTACAGATTTAAAGTCTCTGAAACCATATATAGGGTCACTAAGAGTCAGAACAACAACTGGTATATTACAAGGAGCCCTGGTAATGTAGTACGTTAGGAGGTGGGTTGCTAATCTGAAGGTCAAAAGTTCGGATCCACTAGCTGTTTGGTGGGAGAAAGATGAGGTTTTCTATTCTTGTAAAGATTTACAGCCTCAGAAACCCTCATAGCAACTCTGTATAGGATTTCCAAGGCTGTAAATCTTTGTAGAAAACCTCCCTCAGAGTGGTTGGTGAATTAAAACTGGTCAGCAGTTTGAAACTACCAGCTGTTCCGCAGGAGAAAGGTGAGGTTTTCTGCTCCCATAAAGACTTACAACCTCGGAAACCCTGTACAGAGTCACTATGGGTCGGAATCAACTCTACGGCACTTAACAACAACAATGGAACCCACTACCTTAGGGCTCCTTAGAGCATAGAATAAATGCTTATAATTGTAAGTCACTAGATAGGCACTATTGTCAAGCAGACACCAAAATAACATGCAACTTCAATGGCAGGAAAGCAACTTATTCTTAGTTCTTTTGGTACTTAATACATTTATTGTTTTTAGTGCCATCAAGTAAATTCCAACTCATAGCGACCCTGTACAAGGTTTCCAAGGCTTTAAATCTTTGCTGGCACAGAAAGCCTCATCTTTCACCATCAGAGCAGGTGGTGGTGTGTTTCAACCACTGACCTTGTAGTTAGTTGTTGTTGCTAAGTGTTGCCAAGTTGGTTCCAAGTCATAGTGACCCTGTATAGGGTTTTTGAGGAGCAGCTGTAGACTTTGAACTGCTGACCTTGCGCTCCAGTGCATTAACCTGCAGCGTTATACCAGGACTCCTCGTCATTAGTGGTGGTGATGTGCTGTGAACTCGATTCTGACTCATAGCAACTCTGTATAGGGTTTCCAAGGCTGTAAATCTTTATGGGAGCAGAAAGCCTCATCGTGATCCCACAGAACTTCTGGTAGTTTCCAACTGCTGACCTTGAGTTTAGCAGCTCGACTTGTAACCACTATGCTTGTTGTTGTTGTTATGTGGAGTCGGAACCGACTCATAGCAACTCTGCATAGGGTTTGTTGTTGTTGTTGTTGTTATGTGGAGTCGGTTCCGACTCATACCAACTCTGCATAGGGTTTGTTGTTGTTGTTGTTGTTATGTGCCGTGGAGTCGGAACCGACTCATAGCAACTCTGCATAGGGTTTGTTGTTGTTGTTGTT